AATTATAGTTTTGTCTGGATATATGCCCAGGAGTGGGATTGCTGGATCATATGGTAACTCTATTTTTAGTTTTTGAGGAACCTCCTTACTGTTTTCCATAATGGCTGCTCCAACTTACATTCCCACCAACAGTGTAGGAGGGTTCCCTTTTCTCCACACCAGCTCCAGCATTTGTTATTTGTAAACTTCTTAATGATGGCCATTCTGACAAGTGTGAGGTGGTACCTCATTGTAGTTTTGATTTGCATTTCTCTAATAATTAGCAATGATGAGCATCTTTCATGTGCCTATTGGCCATCTGTACAGCATCTCTGTACTTTAATAAGTTCTCCTGGAGAGTCTGATGAAGTTAAAGTTTGAGAAACGTTGACCGGGACCTGGTTCCTCATTCCTGGTTGAAGAAATTGAGACAAAAAAAAAAGAAAGTGCTTTGACTGAGCAACTGTAGATTCTCCCCAAACCAGAATGTAAACCTAAGGCTAGTCCAATTCCAGAGACTGCACTCAAACCACCCACCACACTGGAGAACCTAGTTCCACTTACTTCCAGCTTATATTCCCACTAAATGTACAAGAGTGTCTCATCACAGTCTTTCCATCATTGCTATTGGTTTTTTTTTTGTTTTTTTTGCCCAATTTGGTGAGTGAATAACCATGACTTAAGCATGCATTATGCAACCACCTAAAAGGGTGCTAGTAGTAAAAACTTGCAAAGATACACAAATCCTTTTCCGTGTAAGTATCACCACCAATATCTGCCTTTAGTAGATTAAGATAATTGTACGTCAGGGTTTTTTTAAGCAGAAAATAGCAACAGTTTGGTGAAAATATGTTATTCCACAAGCTTGCCAGAGCATTTTATTTTTATTTTCCCAGGTTAATTCAGGTGCCCTGTATACTGGAAGCTGAGTCCTCTGAAAGAGTCAGATGGCCTGGAAGTTACCAAGGCGGTTTCCCCGAAGCCTGGTAGGAAAGACACGACCCAGGAAGGTTCCTCCTTCAATCAGGCCCCGAATATGGCAGTGATCTGGACCCAGCTATGGGCAGATGCATCCAGTAGATGGCAGTGTCTCACAGAACAAGGACCAGGGGAAGCTGTCCACTAGGAACTGAAAAAACCGACTCCTGGACCCTCCCCTGCAGGTGCACCTAGCCCTCCCCGGGGAAAAGCAGAACAGACTTCCTGTGTGGGCCCCCTCAGCCCTGCCCACGGTAGCCAGAGGACTTGGAGATCTGGACCGACTGAGCAAGACGGGCCCTTATCCATCACGTTGTCCAGTGCTGCCCAAGGTGTGTCCAAGGACCAACAGCATCACCTGGGAACTTGTTAGGAATTCAGACTCCCAGGCCACACCCCAGAATACTTTAGTCAGAAACTTGGGGCGGGGTGGGCCAGCAATCTGTGTTTTAACAAGCCCTTCGGGTGATTCTGATACACGGGCAAGTTATAGAAGCACCTATCATTTTAGAAGTGGGGAAATCGAGGCCAGACAAAGGAAGTAACACAGCCAGGCAGTGGCAGAACCACACTAGAACCCAGATTCCCAGTGTTCTTTCCACCTTAGCCTTTAAGTAGCTCCCTTCTTTTCTTCATTCATTTATCCCTCATTCATGCATTCAGCCTGCCATTCCACTCTCTGGGCTGCGATGGAGAGCAGGCTTTGGGGTCAACCTCCCCTTTCTTCTTCATGATGGGGTTTCCTCAAAACCAGGGGTCTGGGAGTCAGTGTCATGGAAGCATCTGCTGGATCTTTGCCAGCTCAACCTTGGCGTTCTCCAATTCCGGTCCAGACAGAAGTTTGATGTAGGTTGCAGGTGGCCCCCACACCCCAGCTACCTCCTGTCTCCTTTTTCCTCTTTCTTAGCATCCCAGGGTCTCTTCCCATCCTTACCGTCAATTACTTGCTCTTAGGAAAGGCACAAGAGGGCTCCCCAAAAGACTTGTCATCAAATGAAAGGCCTCCCAGAGTGGGGTTTGCTCAGAAGGGACCTGGGCTGGTTCTAGAGCCATTTCTCCACCTCCGTGTTATTGACATTGTGAGCTGAATAATTCCTGTGTCCTGCGCACGGTAGGATGTTTGGCGGCATTCTTGGCTTCCACCTACTAGATGTCAGTAGGATCCCCTCCCGGTGTGACATCTTCAGATATTGCCAGAGGTCCCCTCTGGGTGGAGTTGCTAGATAAAATATAGAATGGCCAGCTAAATATCAATTTCAGATAAACAACAAATAATTTAGTATATGTATGTCTCAAATATTACCATCCTAGATTTTTACTCGCTGAATCTAGTAACTCCACCTCGGGGGCAAAATCTCCCTTCTTGAGAATTACTGGCCCAGATCTATCCCTTGGGGTCTGGTGTGTGTGTGTATGGGGGTGGGGGGCATTAGGTGAAAAGATCTGATGACATAATTAAAGGCCATTACCCTAGGGGGTGAGAACTTTATTGTACTCATCTTTGTATCCCTAAGGAGAAGTAGATTCTCATTAAATATTCTAGCTCATAACAGGTGTGAGAATAGTTTGAACTGTATCAGGTGTCGGACTGGGCATTGGCTACACACTCCCTGCCCTCAGGGAACCCATGGTCCAGCAAACATAAACTGAAAATGGTGTTTGATTTGACCCACTTAGCATTTTTAGAAGATTTGACTTTGTGGTCAACATTCTAAAATTGGAAGCCACTACATAAAAGTCAGGTTTTCTAGTATCTGTTGAAAAATGTGGTACATCTTCCAAATGCTTGGAACATCTAGCAATCGGGACTGCACTCCCAAGTAGCAAGGCTTGCCTGGAGCTGAGAGATGTGTTCCCCGTTTCCCCTGCAGTCCCCACCACTCCTTATTGCCCCCTACCAGCATCCTTCACCCATTTATGCCTGGTGCCTGTAGGCATTTGGATTTCAAAGCTCTAGTCTGGTGGGGAAGAGCATTAGAATGGAATGTCCTTTTAGGTGATCTGTGTAAAAAAAAAAAAAATGGGTGCATTATCCCCATTTTATAGATGAAGAAACTAAGGTTTAGGGAGGTTGAGTGAATTGCTCAGGATCATAACAGCTAGGCTGGGTTGGATCCCAAATCCCATGACTCCAGGGCCTATGCCCTGGCCAGAGATCCCCATGAGAAACAATTCAACTGTAAGGGCAAGGACGTTGTGACACTGGGTACCCAGAGGGGAAGTGGTGACAGGGACGGAAGGCCAGAGCTGCCCACACTCACTCATCTGTGAGAAAGCAAAAGCAAGAGAACGCTGGTTTGAAGGCAGCAGCCCCACAGGAGCTCTGACTGGGACCCAGGGCTGGGCCTTAGACACACAGCTGCCAGGACCCCTCAACGTCCAGCTGGGTCAGGGAGCTCAGCCAGGGACAACCGTGAGTAGCTTTTTCTGTTGTCTTATTTTGGGCTTCTTCCTCATTCCATAAAACCTGTGTTCTTACCTTATCCCTTCCCTCCAGGGTTGTAGGAAGCTGGGTGGGACTGCCTGGGGCCAGGGGATTGATGTTGTAGAGGACTCCTGAGGTTTTTGAGGACCAACCCCTGGAAGGTTCAGGGCTGGTGCAGCCCTCACCCTGGGACAGGACAAGAATCAGCTCTCAGCATTCATGTCCGCCAAAGTCAGGACACAAGGTGATGATCAGAGCCCGCGGAGAGCCTCGCTGTGTGCCAGGTGCTGCTCTAAGGGCCTTTCATGTTTATTTAATCCTCACGATGGTCTAAACCATTCCCCACTTTACAGATGGGGGCTCAGCCACTTACCTGAAGTCATATGGGCATTAAATGAGAGCTCTGGTCTTGAACTTAGGCATTCTGGCTCCATGGCCCACTCTTCAACCACTAGGCCCTCCTGCCTTACAAGGTACAGGCCTAAACAGCAGATGGTGGGCCAGGAAAAAAACCCTAAAAGACTAAGGCTGGAAAAGACCATCTGATGAGTCCCGGCCTTTGTTTTACAGGTGGGGAAACTGAGGCACAGAGAGATGCAGCTTGCCCGGTTGAGGCAGCTCGGTAACGTAGTGAAGTCTAGTCCACACTAGACCCAGGAGGCTAGGGGTCCACTTCCCTGGAGGTTCCACTCAGCGAACAGTAGTGTTGACAAGTGTGTTCTGGGGTCAGTGCCCAGGTGCGAACCCCAGCGCAGCCTCTAGTAGCCCTATGGCCTCAGACAAATCACTCCACTTCTCTCCCACTCAGCTTCCTCTTCTGAGAAATTTAGGCCCGGGACCATCAGTCACAGGCTCGTGGGAGCGTCGACAGGATGATGCCAGCACTAGGATGGGTACCTGTGGCTCAGCAGGTGGCTGAGGTGGAGATTCTGATCTTGACTCCACCTGCTCTGGCCCTGGATTAGAGATGAGGATAAATGAGGCTGCGCGCTGTTTCTCCCTGGAATGGGTGGCATGTAGACACCTTCAGGGCATAAAGACCAGGACTGAGGTGGGGGAGGGGCTGGGGAGGAATCTGGGGATGCCTGGGAGGTGGCACCCGACAACACTGGCCCCAGCTCTGCATCCGCCTTCTGGCTTACCTCGAGACGGCCCCTAACCTGCCCTGGGGCCAAGCATCAATTTCTATCAATGAAGCATGTCCTTTATCCTTTGGCTCGTTAAGGTCAGGTTAAGGTGGGAAAATGGCAGCCCGGCTCAGCTGAGCAGAGCCCTCAGCGCCAGTCTCTTTTCTTCCCTCCTCATCTTGTTGCATCTATTAATCTTACCTCATGCTCTCAGATGTGCATAAAATGTTCTTTAATTCGTTCTTTTTTTTTTTTTTGGCTGCATTGAGTCTTCCTTGTTGCGTGTGGGCTTTCTCTAGTTGTGTTGAGCTGGGCCTACTCTTCGTGTGGTGCGCGGGCTTCTCGTTGCGGTGGCTTCTCTTGTTGCGGAGCACGGGCTCTAGGCACGCGGGCTTCAGTAGTTGTGGTGCATGGGTCTAGTTTAGTTGCTCCGTGGCATGTGGGATCTTCCCGGACCAGGGCTCGAACCCGTGTTCCCTGCGTTGGCAGGCGGATTCTTAACCACTGCGCCCCCGGGGAAGTCCCTATTCATTCTTATTAAAGCACATTCAATAAGACTCTGAGCCCCCATCCTCCTGAACTGGTCAGTAACTGAACCTCAGTGTGTACGGAGCTTCCCCCGCCCCCACCCCCGCCTTCAAGCATCACACATCAATTCTCAGGGTCACCTGCAGAGCACAGAGTGAGAGAAGCCACCCAGGCTCCTCCTTTGGTGAATGCCCCTTGTCCAAATGGGTTGGATCCTCTGAAGTCCAGCCTGGAGCCCGGATTCTTTGCCAAGGCTCGAATCCCCTGTGTCTTGGGTTCACCCTCAGGGTATGCCACCTGGCAACTTTCCCCAGAGGTCCCACCATCTCCCCAAGGCACTTCCAGGCCAGAGCCCAGGTCCCCAACACTCAAGGACCCATGACCTCTGGTCCCCTCCCTGTGTGGGGCCATCTTTCCTCTCTCCTCGGCTTTCGATCACAGATGCTGGCTCTTCTCTCCCCACCCACCTGGGACACCAGCTTAACCTTCTTAGGTTTTTCACAAAGGACAGGAAGAAGGGCTGTTTTCCAACAGCTTCTGCTTTCCACCCCACCCCTGCGCAAAGTCTCTGAGCCGGGAGACACCAAGGGCACTCTGAAGGGAGACAGGCTGTCCTACCCTACAGAGGAGGAAAACCAAGGCTCAAAGGCAATGGGTACTCGCTCAAGGTCACATGGCCGACGGAGAGGAGCCAGCGTTGGGTCCTGCTCTGCGGGTTCCAAAGCTTGTGCTGTCAATCACCGAATCCTGTGGAAGACCCAAGTCCCCCTCACCAATTAGTCAGGTGGCCCTGGCTGAGCCACATCACTTTTCTCAACCTCAGTCTCTTCAACTCTAAATATGAAGCTATGGTAGCATTACCTACCTGTCTCAAAGGGGTGCTTGTTTATTTTCTGAAGTTAACATTTACTGAGCTTTCTAGCACCATATGCTGGAGCTCTGCTAGCCCTGAAGACTTACCTCTTTCAATCCTCACAGCAGCCTGTGGGAGAGATGCTGTCACTAACCACATTTAAGAGGTGAGAAACTGAAGCTGACGCGGGCTTAAGACCTTGCTCAAGTTCACACAGCTGGTCACATGCAAAGCCAAGACCCAAACCCAGGTCTGTCTGAATCCAGAACCATGGTACATTGTGGTGAGAATCAAACTGGAAAACAGTTGTGGAAAGTGCCTCCTAAGCAGTAAGGTGCAATGCAGGCTCCAGGGTCAGCCCTCTTCCAGCAGAAAAGAACAAGACCATTATTCCCTATTCCCACCATATCCTGGAGAGATAGGGTCCACAGAGCATGGGGTGTGTCCTGCCCCCACCCCCATGCAGCGAAGACCCCAAAGGAAAGAAAATAGCAGACCAGGGCAGATCAGTGGGGTAGGTCAGGTGGGGAGTGTCATTAGACCCAGGCATGGGAAGGAAAGCTGTGGGTATCCCATCCAAATGGGGAGGATGTTTGTGGGACCTCGGGCAGAAGAGACAACATTGGTGGGTTGGGCGTCCTGTGGGTTTTGCTGCTTCTCTTCTCCTCCCCCACCTGCTCCCACCTGCACAGGGGAGGCCCCTGATCTGCTCACCCAGTGAGTCAGAAGCAGCCCCTCCCACCAAAGCCCCCCTGCCTTCCTCTCTGGGGGTTGCGGCCACTCCAGAGTTCCTCTTTGAGAATCACAGCTGCATTCACAGTGTTGCCTCTGTCAGAGTTCAATGAGTCCATCTTTTATGTGTCTCCGTGTATCTGCCTGGATCCTGGGGAATCTGATGGAGCCAAAAGCAGGAGATGGGAGCCTGCTGAGGACCACGGGGGAGTGAGGTGCCTCATGGACCTTCTCTAAGTTGTCACATAATACTTATTGGACAGATGAGGCCACCAAGGCTCAGACACAGCAGGTAAATGGCAAAGACAAGAGTCAAGCCTGGGTCTGTCTTTCCACTACTTTCCACCAGCTCTTCCCAACAGGGAAGAAGGTGTTCCAGAAGGTTCACATTATTAGAATGTTTTCAGTTTTTGAAAAATTAGTGGATAATTATTTTTCCATTTAAAAGATATTTTTCTCAGGGTGAGAGCTTCTTAAGATACACGGGAATCAGGAATTTCCTGGTGGTCCAGTGGTTAAGACTTGGCACTCTCACTGCCAGGGTCCTGGGCTCGATCCCTGGTTGGGGAACTAAGATCCTGCAAGCCACATGGCGCAGCCAAAAAAAATTTTTTTTAATAAAATAAATGGAAGAATCAAAAGCAGCAGTTAGTGGTGATCAAACAAACAATAACCTCATGACCCCCAACCAGGCTGTTCATCATTTGGCCACTGGAGTGGCTTTGGCTGATGCAAGGTTTTACATTGGTCTTATTCTTAATCTTATGTTGTTTAATTTATACCTTGAATGAAGCAATGATTAAAGAAAGGAATCAAAGTGAACTCTGAGGTCGAACACACAAGGAAACAGGAGAAGGATGATGACTCCTCCGCAGATAAGTCTCAAGATTTATCATTTGCATTTATCTGATCAAATTCCTTATATACCTTGTCATAAAAATTCTTGTGAGTTACAAAATGTTAAAAAGAGAAAATAGGGCTTCCCTGGTGATGCAGTGGTTGAGAGTCCACCTGCCGATGCGGGGGACATGGGTTCGTTCCCCGGTCCGGGACGATCCCACGTGCCGCAGAGCGGCTGGGCCCAGGAGCCTGCGCGTCCGGAGCCTGTGCTCTGCAGCGGGAGAGGCCACAACAGTGAGAGGCCCGCATACCGCAAAAAAGAAAAAAGAAAAAGAGAAAATAATATGTACTCTTTCTTTCCCTGTGTTGGGCATAAAGGTAATCTATACCTGCAAGGCATATGCAGAGAGGTGCTTGCAAATAGGGACCTGAGAGCTATTTTATCTTACCATACAACAAACATAACATTCCCTTTTAAAGTACAAATCAGATTTTTTAAAAATTTATTTATTTATGGCTGTGTTGGGTCTTCATTGCTGCACGTGGGCTTTCTCTAGTTGAGGCGAGCAGGGGCTACCCTTCATTGTGGTGCATGGGCTTCTCATTGTGGTAGCTTCTCTTTGTTGCAGATCACAGACTCTAGGCGCACAGGCTTCAGTAGTTGGGCACGTGGGCTCAGTAGTTGTGGTGCATGGGCTTTGTTGCTCCGCGGCATGTGGAATCTTCCCAGACCAGGGCTCAAACCCACATCCCCTGCATCGGCAGGCGGATTCTTAACCACTGTGCCACCAGGGAAGGCCTACAAATCAGACTTTTAAGCATCAAATGCAAGAATGCAAACCCCCAGCTTATGAAAGTGATCTCGCAGGGCTTGCGGGATCTTAGTTCCCCAACCAGCGATTGAACCTGGACCACCAGGGGATTCCCCATTTCATTCTATTTTAATGTCTATTTGGTCCCCCCATAAACATCACTTTAAAATTTGTTCAGCAACCATGCATTTTCTTCTGTCATGAATTTAAAGCAAATCAAGCACATATGCCACTGTAAAGTGGGGAGAAGTCAAAATTTGTTTTTATATATTATGCATATAATTTAAATAAAATAAATGTTAGGGAAATTTTGGAAATAATACACTTATTAAAAATAGTACATTTGATTTAGGGGGCTTCCCTGGTGGCACAGTGGTTAAGAACATGCCTACCAATGCAGGGGACACAGGTTGATGCCCTGGTCCGGGAAGATCCCACATGCCACGGAACGACTCAGCCTGTGAGCCGCAACTACTGAGCCCACGCACCTACAGCCCGTGCTCCGCAACGAGAAAAGCCACAGCAACAAGAAGCCCGCGTAACCCAACACAGAGTAGCCCCCGCTCGCCACAACAAAGACCCAACCCAGCCAAAAATAAATTAATTAATTAATTTTAAAAAATAGTACATTTGACTTAAAAACACTTCCTTTTTCATGGACCATAGAAAATTATGATATAGCCCAAATAATTCTCATGGGGGTTTGTAAAATTATATTTTACTGTGAAATAGTTCCTGAGTCAGGAGAGATGAGAGATGGTCTAGTCCAACCATCTCATTCTATTTTATTTTACTCTTTAAATTTTGGATACGATCCTTAAGTAATCTGGCAGAGAAAATGCACACGAAAACAATAAACATAATAGCTAACGTTTATGAGGATCTGTTAAGTGCCAGCCAGGCACTGTGTTATGTGTCTTCTACCTGCCGCCCGCCCCGTTCTCCCCTCGCAAGAGCCCTGAGGGGAGATAATTTCATTGTCCCCATTTTACAGATGAGGACACTGAGGCTCAGGATAGTGAGGTAATTCACCCAAGAGCCCACAGATTTAATAAGGGGGCAGAATCAGAACTCACAACTGTGACTCAAGCCTGCCTCTTAAACCCCTAACTATTCCCTTCTTATTCTGAGCTGATCCTTACCTGTTCACCACCTCTCTTCACAGAAGCAGGAGATAGAAATCCAGGTTACCCTGCAAGTGGGTATACTGAAGGAGTCAGTATTGCTGGATCTGATCCCAAATCCTAGGCCAGAAATGGTAATGTGCTTTCCTCTTCACGGCCACGGAGGCCAGAAGCCAGCCAGATCCCCAAACACACGTGAATTCATTCTATCACAAAAGCCTATCGTGGAACTTGCATGAGGGTCAGCTCCACAGATGTCTGGCCTCTCCTTATCTGTCCATGGCCTGAGTGCCCACACTAGGTTTCATTTAGCATCAGCCGCGGTCCAGCTGTCCCTGTGACCCTCCAGCCACTCTGTCACACTCACATCTTAGCGGCCTGCAGCCCTACGCCTCAGCCTCTTTACTGATGCCAGTTCCCTCAATTATACAATGGGAGTCATACCACTTCCCTCATTGGCTTGTCGTGTGGAATATATGAGTTAATGTGTAAAGGGCGCAGCATGGAGTCTGGCCCACAGCATACAGTAAGTGCTCATTCAGTGTCACTTTCTGTCTTTGTCGTGAGCACTGGTGTGTTTCAAGAGCTGAGCCTCCAGGGCTCTGCGCATCATCACCCCACCACTCCCGCCTCTGCTCAGGGACCAGCCCAAATTGGAACCGCCACCCCCGCTGCTGCAACCCTAGAAACAACCAGAATCAGGATTAGGGAGGGACCCCACCCTCTGGGATCTGGCCAAGCCAGGAAGAGGCAGAGCAGCCTGAAAGGAAACCACAAGGGATTCAGAATACCCACCATGCGGTTAACCTTTTCCTACTTTTTGCTATACAGAGGAGCCACCATGAAAAGTCCTCAGCATCCATTAATGGCCTCTCTGCCCCCCCTCCCCCTACCCCATTACAACGCTTTGCTTGTCTTACAGAGAGCACTTCATGGGCGGAGGGGGCTGACTAGCCGCTTCTAGGTGTAATTTTAACAGTTTTAACAATGCTCCTAAACCCACCTGCTCCCCCCGCCATGCTTCCCATTGACTCCTGACCAAGCTTCCACCAGCAGCAAGTACCCCCAGGGTGAGGGGAAGCCAGAGACTCTTATCGGGCATTTACACTTTAATGATTGAGTTCCTAAAATTTTCTGTAATAGGTTTTCTTTGAAAGAGGAGGATAGGGACTTCCCTGGTGGCGCAGTGGTTAAGAATCCGCCTGCCAGTGCAGGGGATGCAGGTTTGATCCCTGGTCTGGGAAGATCCCACATGCCGCGGAGCAGCTAAGCCCGTGCGCCACAACTACTGAGCCCGCGTGCTGCAACTACTGAAGCCCACGCACCTAGAGCCCGTGCTCCACAACAAGAGAAGCCACCACAATGAGAAGCCTGCTCATCGCAACAAAGAGTAGCCCCCGCTCGCCTCAACTAGAGAAAGCCTGCTCACATCAACAAAGACCCAACGCAGCCAAAAATAAATAAATTTATTAAAAAAACAAAAAAGAAAGAGGAAGATAGGCCTTTAGTTCCTATTATCAAGATGAAGATAACCAGCACAGAATCAGAGTGAAGCCCTGAATCGTAGAGATGCTCCCTGTAGGGGCAGAACCAAGACACATGTCTTCAGACAGCATGTCAAGGTGCCCATCCTGAGACTCTGAACCCTGGGATCTGCTAAAGCAGGAAAGAGGGAAGCCTGTGTACTTACAGTATTTCAAGAACCGCCCCCCCACAAAGGATAGAGGTCCCCAGGAGAAAGCTTCAGGATCTGACTGAGGGTGATGGGCCTGGGCCTGGGTTCAAATTGGGCTTTACCCTCTGTATGACCTTGGGCAAGTCACTTCATTCCCCTGTGCTTCTATCTCCTCGTCTGTAAAAGAGGGACATGAGAATAGCACCACCTTCCCCTCCTCGTTGTGAGGAGTAACTGAGTTTACATGCAAAGCCCAGTGCTTGGCACACAGCAAGCCACTGTCATTAAGGTACAGTCCCCCCTACCCTGCGATCCCCCTCTCGCCCATATATTCAAGGCGGGCAGGTCAGGCTCTAAAAGGCTTTCCCTATGTCCTCTTGCCACAGAAGCTTTGAGAGTCACTTTTGACATGTGAAGCCAGGCGTGCCCTTCCTGCTGATGTATATCCTATCAGTCTGTCTTTTCCCCCATAAATCGAGCAGTTGTGTCTACTTTGAGAATCTTGAAGAAGGTAGCCCTCCCTGAGGATTTTCACAAGTGTCACAGAACTCCTTCAACCAATTCACTGGACAAATATTCCTCGAGCAGCTGCCATGGGCCAGGCAGCGTTCTAGGCCCCTGAGACGCAGCAGGGAACAAAACAGACAATGAACCCCGGATCTCTTGGAGCTGACCTGTCAATGCCCTGGCAGCTAATGGTGGTGCTGGAGGCCCTGGTTAGAGGAAATGGTCCAAGGAGGAAAGGAGGAAAAGGAGACCAGGGAAGAGACTGTTGCCCAGAGTGTGAGAAAGACCCCCGTCCCCCTCCATCCAGGCTGGCCTGCCTTCCATGGATTGGGTC